TGCGTTTGCGGGGCACGGTTACCGGATATGCCTTGATGTCCGTCTGTCTGTCCATCTCAAACCAAAACTTGAAAAGCTGGCGTGTGATTTGAATGGTGTGCGACGCCCGTTCACCTTGAGAACGCTGCTCCAGGGCCTTACCCCCCGCTCTCCCCCACATACACACGCACACAGGTGTGCATGGGCGGGGTGTCATGTGTAATGTGATGTTGGGGGTAAATGGCAGTACACTTTCGTGTACGACCCGGATATCAACCGGATGATGGCCCTCTTGCATTTGCCCGCAGGACGCTGACGACCCCTCCGACCTGGTGTGTCTGAGGACCCGGAAACTGCATTACGGCAACACGTTCAGTTACTCACGGGTGGGTCGGTGGGCAGCTTTGGATATGTATGTGTGTTGTTGATGTTGTTGATGTTGATGTTTTTGTAATTACAGAGGGCTGCCAAGTTTCTATACCGCAAGGCAAAGAAACCACGAGCCAAAGGGCACATCGCCTGTTTGTGTGCGTGTGTGTGTGGTTCGGTGGGGGGGGTCCTGCGTGCATCGTTTCGTTGGAAGTTGGGTCTTAAGTTGGTCTGGGCCGGGACTGCTATAATCTTTGGTCAGCCACCAGCTTTTGTGGAGGCGGTGGGGGACCCACCCGGATCCTCACACGACCAACTGGGCAACGCAGGGGGGGGCCGGCGCTGCAGGGGGCGGATGAGGGAAGGGCGGTGCTGCGCTGGGCAACGCAGGGGGGGGCGGCGCTGCAGGGGGCGGATGAGGGAAGGGCGGCGCTGCGCTGGGCGGCGCAGGGGAGGGCGGCGTGGGGTGGTGGTGAATGTACGGCATTCCCTGCAGTTTCCGAGTCTTAATGTACGGTGTTATATACTATGGCCGGCGGCGGTGACGACTCCTGGCTGCAGGTCAAGTTCATTTTGGGGCTTGTGCACGGCCTTGCCAACGGTGCACCTGTTATGACCCGTGGGTCATGGAAGCACCGCACGCATTTCGGTCCGGCTCTGTGGCCGCCGCAGCCGCCGCCGTCCGCGTCATCTCCGCCTACTGGTGCTGCAGCGACAGCGGCGGCGAGCTCTTCCTCCAGCGCAGCCGCAGATCGGGTTGCTGCTGCTGCTGGCGGTGCTGCTGGCGGTGCTGCTGGCGGTGCTGCTGGCGGTGCTGCTGGCGGTGCTGCTGGCGGTGCTGCTGGTGGTGGTTCCTTAGGTGGTCTCAGCCCGGGTGTCCTCCTATCCAGAGTTGATATCAACCTGAGTGCTGACGTGTTCGACATCGTGCACGACGCCCAGGTGGGCTGGGCTGTCTTGTCTTGGTTTGGTTCGTTCGGTTGAGTTCGTTAGGGTCTGGGCAGGTTGAGTTGGGTTGGTTAAGAGTAGGTTAACAGGGTGGGTTGGGATGGGGGGGGGGGTAAGAATGCACTCATGAAGCGAAGGAAAGCGCCCCGGAACTTGGGTTGATTCTTACAGCTATCACCCCATCCACACACACATATCA